GGAATAGGCTGCCCAGGGAGGTGGTTGAGTCCCCATCCCTGGATGTGTTTAAGAATAGGGTGGATGAACTACTTAGGGATATGGTTTAATGGGAAATTAGGGACGGTTGGACTGGATGATCTCTAAGATCTTTTCCAACCTAGAAAATCTATGAATCTATGAAAACATAGAGCTGACTTTTTAGAACTATGTCATTGCCTAAATGTACTTTTAAGAGAGAACGCATGTTTAAGACTTGCTCACTTAAAAATATCATCTTTTATTCTTTTATCAGTTATTCTAGAGATGGAATAGGAGCACCTTTTATGGGAAGTCTGGCAGAATGTGAGTGTGCTTGTCTATTGTTCCTTACATATTCCCACACATAAATCTGTATAATACATTAGCGAATTATCTTGGACCATACCACTGGATTTTTAATGTAAAATACTAAAAGTCGCACTTCTGAAAAACAGATTCTGAATGTTTACAACTCTATTTGAAGTTATACAATTGTGATATTGTTCAGGATTTTTTAAAAGATTTTCTTGTCCGAAGATTCCACCCTACAAACACTTAAATACATGCCTATCTTGTGAGTAAATGTTTCAATATGTTGAAGGGTTTTGCAGAGTTTGCCTGATCTAGAGTAGTAAAGGTTTTGGGGAAACTTAATCATATTTTATGGAGTGTGTCATTTCACTAGCAAATTTAACCTTGATTATAATGAAGAAGTAAGTGTTTTACAGCACAAGTGATATGATTAGAGTGATGCAAAAAATGCTCATGTAAAGAACTGGTGTTAACAAAGCATTTTTCTCCCCTCCATTTAGACATTCTGAGTTCTTACTGGAACTGAATTCCTATTATGTCCCTTCTCAAAATGCACTAATTTACTCCTGCTGGATTCTTCAGGGTTAAAAGTTGGGATTTTTTCTGTAGTTCACATTTGAAGCATCGGGGGGGGGTTCTTTCTAAGCAAATACATTGCCTTTTGTTGGACTCGAAGCACCCCGAGAAAGAAGTGCTGTGGTAGTGAGATAGCGTTGGAGAGCAACAGCCTATATAGAACAATATTTCCCTTCCTAGAGATCATTTAGAAGCTTGCAGTTGGAATTAACTGCCTCTTGATGGCACTTGGCACCACAGTAATTGCTTCTTTCTTGTTTTAACCATTTGAGTTAGCAGCTCCTTGCAGCCTCTTCAGCAAATGTATTATTAAACTTTCCCTCTTGTCTCCTGGAATTAGAGAATATGGAGGTAGTCATAACTCCTCCACAGTGAGAAACCCAGTGTTAACTACACAGCCAGAAATTCAGAGCTGCATGTTAGACTTTCTATGTATGTATTATAGTGAAGAGCCCACTTTTATTTGCTTAAAGCAAAGGTTGTTAAGAATAAAATAATATTTTTGAATCAACAGCAGAACTTAAGAAATTCAGCTAAGAGAGTTTTCCTTTCCTACTGTTTTTAAGATTCGTGGTTCTCAAAACAGTAGAAGAGCAGAAGTTATAGACGTGGAAAGCTTCAGTGTCAATTCTGAAGAATGGCTGTCATTCTGAAGAATGGCTGGTAGCAAGTAGTATAGTTTGAAAATGGAAGATGATACCTACCATTTTTCCTATATCAGAACAGAAATCTGAGTTAAAGGGAAATGGTAGAATTTCTGTTGACTTAAGTGGGGCCAGAATTTCTTTCTAGAAACCTGGTCAGATGCTACCCCAAGCAATTACTCTTTTCCTACCATTATTTAGTCTTTAGGATGTCTAAAGACCTGACCCTCGGTCTAATTTATTGCCTAAGTTAATAGCATAAATCACACAAATAACGCTGGCACTCAAAAGCATCAAAATGATGATCTTTTAACTTTTGATAAGATCAAAATGTGAAAAGTCAAAAACATTATTATGCCTGTTTAACAGCCAAAAAAGATTAATTGAGATGAGATCAGACAAATGCGGTATCAGCTCAGTAGCATGGGACTTTACACTGACCCTGGATATTGTGGGGTTATTGTAATTTTAGAAATTTCTCTCGATGTTCTTACTTTCTGGCAAGGTGTAGGAAATGTCAGAGACTAAAGCTGATACTGAATTTTTGTCTTATACCATTTTGTCTGGGAATCCGCTTGAATTGTTGCCACACTATAGCAAAGCAGTATCTGTATCCAGGATGTGATTGAGAGATGATGTCTGGCTGTAACTTGTAGGGCAGGTTATCTTAAGGAGTGACAGAAAATCAGATGCTCTCTAGAACATCCAGATTTGTTCAGTCGTTTCTCTAGATTGGTTGGCAGGTCTTAAGTTCATGTAACAGTTTTTTCTAGCAAATACTATGTATCCATAGCTAGCATTGTAAAAGAATTCCAATACCGTTTTGCCGAAAACCAGTGCCAGTTCGTTTTATTAAAGAACAAGCAAGTTTCTATTTACAAAAAGCTCTTGACATTTCTTAACCAGCAAAGGTGTCTGAATACATTAAGAAGCATTTAAGCATATAAACTGTGAGAATATAAAATAAATCCCAGGAATAGTGTGTTGAAGTCTGTTTAATATCCATATTTTGCTAGTATTGCTGAGTGTCAGGGAAATATTGTAGCTGATCTTCATTTGAGACACTTTCCATGTGTGCATATTAATCTCTATACAGTGGCAACATTTTCTGTGCCAATATTTTTAGTAAAAGTGAAAGTATATTTGTCTTTTATAATACAGTCCAATTGTATAAAAGTAGAAGTTTGCTTTTGTTACATAGAAATATTTCTCTTGTACCTGGTAGTATAAGTGGAAATTACAAATAAGGAACAAATTGAATTGAACTAAAATATTAACCGAGTGAAAAAGAAAGCACTATTGTGTGTAGTGCTCAGACTCGAGTTTCTGAACCAAATTTTCAATTTACATGATATAAAAATCAGTTTTTCATGTACATCTCTGCTATACCAGAACAATGAGCCAGTTTACACCCAAGTCCAAACACCAAGATAAAAATTATTTATAAGTTTTAGTCAAAAACTTATCAGATCTAAAGCTAACAATCACCCAGAAAGAAATCTTCAGTTCTCTTTACTGTCAGTAGAAGGCTACCAAGTAAAGGCTTTAATATATTTTAGCTTGAAGTTTTCTTTATTCAGATACAGCTTCAAATACAGGTTTGAGACGCTGATTAAGAATATAACTTTATGGAGTATGTGTTAATTGTTCCCAAACACAGCAAAAAAATGGACATAGCAAAATGAGGCAAAGGTAGTTTGCATTTAATAAAATGAAATACAGGCAAGTTGTTGCTCCAAATGAAGTCTGTGTTAGGGTTATTCATTATATTTTCCCCTTTAAGTATCTCAGAGTGGAACTTGTCCTAAATATTTGTGCTTTCTGTTGCAAGCTACTGCATCCTTAAGACAAAGTGCAATTAATTTAAAGTACAATGCAACTATCTGATTTTTGAACAAAAGTTTTTCAGAGCAAAGAAAGGAGTTCATTTCATCATGTTTTGTATTTGCAGTGTGATTAACATACATATGATTTTAGTTCTTTAAAATTTAAGTGTATTTATGTAGATGGACTCCTAAGCCCAGACTTCTTTAACACAAGAATGGGATTTGGAAGGATGTGGCACTGTGCCTGTGTTGTTGCAAAGCTGCAGCATAACTAGAGGACAGCTGACAGTGATTTGTTTGATCACTTCTCAAAATATCCACATTTTGTGGCAAAGCAACTTCAGCTAGTCAAATTATTATCAAAATTATGATTAAAGATGATACAGAGGCATAAATGTCCACTCCTCATTTGTAACATATAGAATATTTGTCTTAGCTTTAGAAAAAACTTTTTCTGTGTGATTCTATTTATTTTTCTTTTGTTCTCAATAGTGTGTGACATAGTCTCACAGATACAAATGCTCTATTTATTGTTGAGTCTGTGTATGGGCTGGACCATAGGCAGAATGAAGAAATCTCATGGCAGACCTCTTCAGTGGGATTCCACTCCAGCATCTACTGGCATTGCTGTAGTAGTTGTTGTTACACAGGTTTGTATTTATATTTGTTCTTATACTGAAATATACAGCTGCTATTAAGTATGACAGAACCGTGAACCAATTTCAATATTTTATGAGGGAGGGAGTTTCAAGACTGGAAGAAAAACCTACAGCATAATGTGCACCCAGTATGTCTAATAAGTAACAACACCTTCTCTTTACTTAACAATTTAAGGTGTAGCTCCACAGTGTGTTTTTGTTCAGCAGTAAAACCACTTAAGAAGTTCCCACAGTTTTCCAAACTCCTGGTTGTGCCAATTGTTCATAGATTATACTGTAAACAAGATCAGTGGAATTATCTAGGTTGGGAAAAAAAAAGATTTCAGCATGGTCATTTTAGTGATCTGATTTATAACGTGGTCGTATAAATAGTTGTGATCAGTATAGCTGAGGGGTTGTGAGCTACATTGTGGGGGGTGACAACAAGCAGAACGAGAGGAAAGACAAGAAAAGCTGCTGTGATAAATTTTTTCTGTCACCAAAAGAAATATGAAATCCTCAGTGTCCTCCTCTTAGAACCACTCAAATAGGATGTCTAATGGTGTTTTGACTCAATATAAGGGAATTCTTGAAAGGTTCATGTGCAGGATTGGTCTTGCAAATATACAAATGGTCTGACACATAATTTAATTCAAATATTTTCCATTAGTATAAATTAGAAAGTCAAGTAAACCAGTAACTTAAATTGTAATGGAGATCATCCAACCCTAGTGGTGCCTTTTGTAAACAAATTTTTTTAAATCATGGCATAAAGACAAGAGAATCTGAAAGCCATTGAGAAAGAGAAGAGCAGGGAGAAACTGGAGACAGTAATGAGGAAGAGATTATACTGAAGATTTTGCGCCATTTGGGTAGTATCTGTAATTAGTGCAGCTTCCAAACTAAATAAGTGGACTGCTAAAACATTAAGAGTAGCTGGGAGCTGACATTTCTTGCTAATTAAGAATATAAACCAAGGCTATTAAGGTCAATGAGACTGTTGAAGTTTAAAGATAGGTTCATTCCACCTTACTTTGACACCCATCTAGCACCAGAAATTTTACATACTAGTAGTAAAGAAGACTTCTAAAGTATTTAATTTTATTCATGCCTCTCCACTTGTACATACGTATGGGTGTGTTAGTACTCTGTCACTCGAGACTGGAAAGCCTTTTGTTGTTGTTTCCTTTTAACTGTATATAGAAAGGACACTCAGTATCATCAGATTGATTTTTTTTTTTTTGATTGTTACTTGTGGTAAAAATTGGGGCAGGTATCATACATATATGCTGCTTCCCCCAGGACTGGTCCATTACACATTGGTGTTGGCTGTTTGAGCGCCACTGGAGCATTGGCACAAAGTTGGCTATCTTGCTTTTCACCATGAAGGCACAGCTCTACCCCATCTCTCCTCCTGGTACTGTTGGGAATGTCAGGTTTGACAGGAGTCTAGTAGGAATGGAATATGAGTATTAGAGTATGTCATTGACTGGGTGATTTTGCACCCCCATCTCAGTGTTTGCCGTCTTCAGCAAGAGTTCCCTGACGCCCAGAGTATCCTTGCCCCTTCTGGAGAGGGTGTTTTCCGTCTCATGGTTCAGTACATACAAAATAAACCACCTGCCAGATTTCTTCTCCTTAATGCAGGATGTGGCAGTTGAGCTCAGGGGAGCAGGATCCAGAATCCAGACCGCATTGCCTCTGTCAAAGGTGGTGAGCTCAAGGCTTCATTCTCTGGATTAGTGTGTCGTTCACTGGTCTGTCTAGGTTGACATGGCTGTTAGACCTGCTGTAACAAGGTAGTCAATGAGCACTTTTAGTGATTAAAAACCCAGAATAAGCTCCTTTCTGTCCTCCTCTTGCCCAGAGATTCTTATGGAAGAGCCAGCTTCCTCGCATACCAGAGGTTGGACAGACTTATGCGGATAATCAGAGATGTTCTGAGGACTTGCTGTGAAGGGTGCTGGAAACCACGTGCATTACCCTAACACAGCAGATAGGAGATTAAACCATGATAGTTTTACTGATGTTCTACACTACCTGTCCTCAGCTCATCTTCAGGCAAGTCAAGCAAGTGGACAGCCTGGGAAAACATGTTATTCTTCAACTTAACTGCAGTTTTGACTGGCAAACTATCTGACCCTGTTTGCCTGCTACTAGTTCAAATTACTCAGCAAATTTTCAGGGTTTTTTCCTCCTCTTTGTACTGATGCTATAGATTCTTTCTTTTTGTTCTTTCAGACACACTAGTAGTTTTCCTGGCTGTTTACAGGTTGCCATCAGTGTAGGGTGGACACAGCCTCCTAGTCAGCAAATCTCTTGTGGTCTTTGCGGCTGCAAAGAGGTAGCATCTCAAAGGAGAGACAAGTCTGCCATTCAACATCTCCCTTTGCCTTAACTTGTTCTTTATTTCAGCCTCAGAACAAAAGATTCCCAGGCCACTCTGTATTCATTAAAGATTCCACTCTCTGCTGCTGAGGCACAAACCTTGTTCAAAACGTTATTGATGGCAGGCCTTTCCCATCACATAGACCTGAGCAGTTTCAGCTTTCAGGGATGATCGGAGCAGAGGCAATGATTCTAGAAAGATAACTGTTCACTTTGAACCTGACTGAAATGACATAGAATCTTACCGCGTTAAACATCACACTTCACAGGGGTTCTTGGGTACACCTCAAAGGTGTGTTCGGAATGAGCTCTGCCTCTGACCTTAGATCTAAACCATTTTTTACTGTAGTGGCATTGCATGACATCAGATACACAAGTACTAGGTACAGTTAGAAGCAGCTAGTTAATCCACTTTTTGCCTTAGTGCTACTTTTCATTTCCCTTTTGCTTCTCCCTTCCTTCTCAGAGATGATCTGTCCCATGAGAACCTGCTGTTACTGGAGATTGATATGTTATCTTAGCTTGCCATAAAGTCAATGTTGGCATAGCGAAGGGGTGGAGGGGTTCTACCATAGTCGTTTCCTCATGACAAAAAAGAAGAGTATCTGGTTCTTCATTGTATGGATATGAAGATTCAACTTGTGTATCTGGAACATCAGGATGATGTCCATGGCAAACGTTTTTCTAGCATTTGAAGAGGAAGGCCAGTACTGGACAGTGGTTGGTGTCTACTGTGAACCAGGATAGGTCAGAAGTATGTGCAGGTGAAATCAGGCATTTTGAACAGAGTATTAAACAAGGAGATGGTCATTCTTCTTTACTTTGTGAAGAAGCAGTTGTGACTTTAATGTTGGACATAGCTAGTGTGAGTCAGCTCTTCAGCTACCTAGCTTGTCCAGTTCTTTTTTTTCTACAGCCTAAGCAGAGTTCTTCTGGATAAAAATTAGGATTTCCTCCCTGATTTCTTTTCAGACCTCAAAAATAGTTCTGCCAACAACAACAACAAAAAAGTCTATGATATCCACTTCAGCAGGTTGGTGTCTGGGTGTTTTTTCAGCTTGTTCCTGATACTGGAGCGAAGTGAGCTGACACATGCCTTTCTCTGGTCAAGGTAAAGGGACTTAAGGGCTTGTTCACCTTAAATTCTCAGTCATAGCCAGCCAAAGAGATGTTCACTTCAGATCATGCTTGTCTGTGAGAGCTCTTCCTTCATTGAGAGCAGATTGCTTAATCCATTCTAACCTAGAAACACTCCGTAGCAGAGATTTCTCTTTTATAGGATCCTGCTTTTCTCTGGTGAGTGAAAACAGTCCCAGCTTATAGTAAGAGCAATGACACATATTCACCTTGTCCGAGTTTCCAGTGTGTTGCCCTGATGCTTCCATCTCTGCCTCTAATGCCTCTGCCTTCTGCTTATTTTAAAATAATCTAATGACACTGAAGGAAGCTGGACTTCTGTGATCTTACATTGGTGTCACTACACACAGTCTTTGATCAACTGATTCCTGTGTTGTTTACACTCTTTGAAGGGCTAGTCCAGAGCATAACCTGCTGTCAGACACTATTTTCTCATGAGGATTTGAACTTTGTTCTCATGATTCCTTTACTCCAGCTCTTTGTCATCTTCTCATGAAAGTGGCTTCCTTCATTGCTGTTACTATTGGTGTAAGTTAAGGAAAATGCAAACCCTCATGAGCTCTGTTCTTTAAGGTTAAGCTGTCCCTGGGATCTACCTAAAGTTTCTTCTTAAAGCAGTATCACAGTTCCGTCTCCATCAGCCTATATTTCTTCCCCCCAGATGCATGCTTTTGTCAGGAAAGTTCTATACAGAAGTGGAGGGTTTTTTAAATTTTCTCAGACAGTGTATGTCCAGTCCGGGGAAGTTAAATACATTGTCTATTCCTAAGTGTAAATGTCAAGAAGGAAAATGCTCTGCACAAGGCTACAGTGATTTTGTAACTGGTAGAACCCTTGTTTGTTGCCTGGGCACATTCTACCTGAACTGAAATAACTTCTGTGATAGGAATTTACCAGTTTCATGACGAAACTAGTGCTGTAGGCCCAGCTTTACCAAATGTGTTATTCCAGTCTTACACTTTGACAGAATTCTCAGTCAAGTAATTTGATCATTTGAAGATGTTTGCTTGGAGTAACCCAGGAATGGAGTGTTATGGGGAGAACATTTGAAGCATGTTGGTCAGATTGTTTACTAGTAATCATTGATGTTCAAGATGTGCATGCTTCTCTTCTGTACCTCTTCCATCCTTTCATTTACCATCCAGGTAGTAGAGGAGTGACTGAAATGACAGCAGTCATGTTTGCTGTGTCATGGCCTAGGTAAGGGAGAGGAAAAGCGAGAGAGTACTCTCTAAAGATATTCTAAGCGAAAATGATCCTGTCTCGACTGATGAGACTCAAGGACACTCACCTTTGGAAGGCACAAGTGGATTACACATTTTTTAAAAAAAAAAAAAGTTAATTTTAGTAACCTTTTTGTCTTTATGTCATTATGTAGTGAGAGAGCCTTTGAATGTGTTCAGAAAGGAATCTGACTAATTTAGATTTCTAAATTGAGGCATACAATGTCTGCTTCTGAGAGTCTTCAGAGCTACTTCACTCATATAAATCAAATTTGCCTACCTTTCTTCAGAAAGGTTGCTTCATTAGACACCTGAAACCTAAGTGCAAGTTAGATGTGAACAGTAGGTGGACTGGATTCCAGTGTATATTCAGGTCTTCAAATGCCATTCAGCTGCTACATGATGCTGGTAGAGTCTAAACTCTGAGTATTCTAATTTATAACGTTAACGTTCCCAAAATCTTTAAAAGGTATTCTTCAGCAAGACTCAATTTTTATGCAGCAAGTAGGCACCCGCCTTCTACCCAACTAAGATTCAGAAACTAGGCACTTCTCAGTCCACTTTTCCTTAGAGAATCCCAGTATTCTTTCTCTCAGCACTCCTACAAAATTGGATTCTGCAGCAAATGGGTACAGTGCTGAGAGTTAAGGAGGATTACTGTCTTTTGTGTAGTTACCTGTTGACTAGAGCATTTGTCCAGATGTTGCAACGATATTTGGAACCTGTGTCTCTCTGTTTCCTGGACCCTAGGAGGTTTCCGAGCCGGTTGCTTGCAGAGTCAGGCTCGCTCACAGTTTCTGACCTAGCTGATGCTGAATTTTTTTCTCCACTGTGGCACAGCTTCAATAGAAGGGGTGGAGAGTGGCCCACCCAAGAACAGCCTATAGCCTGGCAGTTGGGGCACTCTCCAAGGAGGTGGGAGATGTGAGCTGGATATCCTTTAGGCAAAGAAGGGAATTGTGGGAGATCCAAGTTCAACCTGGGTGAATGCTTGAGCCTTTAGGCTATTGTATAAAAGGGGCAGCAGCACCACCCTCTTACTTCCCCATCTTTAAAAAGAAAAGTGAATCCTGTTAGGATTTTGAAAGAAAAGGCGTAGTCGCCTGCCTTTGAAACAAGCTTTACAGGTTGTGGATCCCAAGTGGAAGGAGACACCTCCCTG